GTCATATTTGTACAGAAAAAAATAGACACAACACTGACTATAGTTTTAAACAGTCATATCTCCCCAATGGCTGGAAACTTTTCACTTTTTAAAACACGAAGATCTTTGCTCTTTGAAGATAATTTGTCTGTGTGAATGTTTTGAGTCTCTGAATCAATTATGATGGGATGGAAACAGATCATTTGTGGAAAAGAGAAAAAAAATACATAGTAACATGCATTTGAGGGACATCAGAATCCCTTGATTACTCAGATGGAGAAAGCCAACGCTGTTGTCTGTCTTCAGGTCATTGTCACTTGGACATTTGTTTTTGAGTGAAGTTATTTGTGAACTGAATTGTCTGGTAATTCATTTTAAGTTGGTCTTTACAACCAGAGTTCTGTTTGTATATTTTGTTATTATTGCTGTACGTTTTCTCATTTTTTTCAAATAATTACATTATAATCTTTTACATTCAACACTAAAAGTATTGCATTCATAGCACATCTTGTATGATGCAGGACATACACTTTTCTGTTATAGTTTGCCGAAGACATAACATCACTATTTTTAGCTTTAAGATTAAGTACTTCATGTAAGTATCATTGAATCTGCATTAGTGTGTTGTCATCAAGCATAGCTCATGTAACTTGTCAACATTGTATTTTGAATTTAATAGAGAAAAGTTATTGTCCCTTGATAACTGAAGATGCTTTATAAATTATTCGAAAGAGTGAAATATTTTGTAGTGTATAGCAGTGTCTTTGTTCTGATCGCAGATGGTTGGTGGGTGCTCTGGCGTGGTTTGCTCGTTCTTTCCTGATCTCTCCTCCTTTTTTTGTGTGTTTGTTACTCTCTTGTAAGGCTTCTAGTTTTTAGCACTTACATGACCTAACTGTGTTGCAAGTGCCATAAAAGTCTTACTAATACTAAAAGAAAAATAAACATGACGATCTTTGCTTTCTCACAGAGGACACCGAAAATGAGGAGGAAACTCCTAAAGGTGAAGAAGAAGCTGAACCTGAGGCAGAGCCAGAGCCAGAGCCAGAGGCAGAGGCAGAAGCTGCCCCAGGTGAGATAACACATTGTGTTTGTTAGTGATAAACAGGGCAATAATGATAATTTAATATTAGTACTTAGTAGTAATAATAATAATAATAATACTACTAATAATAATAATAATAATGATAATAATGATAATGGTGATAATTACGATAATGATGATGATAATAGTAATCATCATCATCATAATAATAATCATAATCAGCAAGCTCTGTGCGTTTTGCAATCAGTTTTATTACCCTAACAGACCTGATAGCATTATAAAACAATCTCAGTTTTGCGAGAAGCTTACTGTGTAAGCTGCCAATTTAAAAGCGTTGAAACACTAAAATACTGACAAGATCCTTCTCTGTCCTTGGCTGGGTATCCATTCCCACCTTGGTGAAGCGAGGAAAATTTTCCCCTACACTAAATAATCGCTATTGCACCGAGATGTTTCCCTTTCCTCAAACATGCGAACAAACAATCAGAGGCTTGTTACCAGCTGTGATGTGCAATAATTCTGTATTTTCCTCACTTTTTAGCTGGGCAAGAGTCCAGCATCAAACAGTATTCATTCCCTCTCTCATTCTCGTTCATCCAATGTTTTGTTTTATTTTGACAGCTTCTGCAACAGCAGAGGAAGAAGGAGAGGGAGAAGAAACACCAGAACCTCCTGTGAAGACGGAAATGGAGGTAAAAATTTCATTCTATTCATCACCTCATCGACTGAAGCTTTTTCTTACTCTTGTAGTTGCTGGTACATTTCTTATAAGAATAAGGGATATTATGAGCTCTGATGGCAATGGAAACTTTTATTACACCTCTACTATAATTGAACTTTCATTGCTTGCTAGTACCTTACTTCAAATATTTTTTTCTGCCTTATGTGGTACAGGTTTTTGCCTGTATGCTACCTCACATTACTTCTCCCACCCTCCCGCTCCTCCACCTCTCTCTCCCCTCCCTACCCCTCAATGCCACCCCCCCTACAAAAAGCCCACCCTTCCCCCTCCCTTCAGACACACACAAGAAACAACTCCTCATCTATTCCATGTAGATACATCTCGCCTTCTCTCCACCTGCATTACTTTTTTCCCCTCCCTTCTCCCTTCAAAATTTCCCTCAAAGTCACCAACTGTTCACCTGCATGGTCGATATATATCCCTCTTCCTCTCTCCTACCTCTCCCCTCCCTCCATTCACCTTGCCGTATACTTCTCTCAGATTCTGATGGAGCAGCCAGAAGTCCTCGCCTTCATTGAGAAACTGAAGGAGTCGGAGAAGGAGTTGACTAACCTGATGGCTACCATTACGGGAACCTCCACCATCGAGCCGTACACGGTGGCTATTGGTCAGTTGACACCTGAGGAGATTCTCAACGAAGTCACAAAGCATTTGGAACGTAAGTTATGAATACAAGTACTCTTTTCTCTGATTGTTGCGTGTATTATGCTACCTCACCTTGTTCCCCCTCCCCC